GTCTGGTTGAACTTTGTACAGCAATTTTTGAGGGGCGACAAGAGGAAGACAAATTGTCACCTAGAAAATCCTAAGTTAATACTTCTTCTAGTATCAAAGCAAAATACATTTTCAGAAAATATACTGCTTTTTTACTAAATGCGAGTATTTAACTACTCCAGAATAGGCTTTACAAAACGAAAGCTTTTTGACACCCTGCCGAGTACCAACGCAAATAATCCTTAATTTTCGTTCACACCCTCATATGTCTAAAATTTTGACCACTTCCAAATTTCGACGTTGATATTTAAGCTGGCCTTTCGACGACCAAAAATCTCGAATAAACGCGTGGAAGACAAGAAAAGTATTAATTTGACCCCAGTAGATTTGTTTACTTAGAAGTTTTTCGGATCCCGTGACACGTAAACAATGTTCTATTACCGGCGGAGTATGCGGCTAAACTACAGTGATGTCAAAATCCATTGCAATCGGTGGTATTCAATTTAGCGTTGTGTTACTACTGTTTCTGTTCCTGAGCCTGTCCTTCGGGTTTTTGCACAGTTTCATCGGCAGTATTTTGAGCTCCTTCTTCGGGTTTTTGAGCTGCCGCTGTTTGATCGTTGGGCATATTTTCCGCCGGCGGATTGTCTTGCCTCAGCGGTCCTGGTGGCTCTTTCCCGGGGCAAACACCTTTATCGCACTCTGCCGTTTCGCTGTCGGGCCCCACACACGGGTTACCTTCGTTACTCGGTGGCGGATTTGTGCAGGTTCGTGTTCTTGTCATGGTTCCTTTTCCACACGTTACGGAACACGGTCCGTACTCACTCCATGCCGAGTAACCGCCGTGTATCGGGCAATCGTGAGTATTACATGGCTCTTCCTGTTTGGTTTCTCCTTCGCAAGGTTTGCCGCCGAACACAGGCGGTGGGTTGTTGCATTGCCGAGTCCTGGATCTTTTTCCTCCTCCACAAGTTTTGTCGCACTGCGAGTAGGCGCTCCACTCGCCGAATTTTCCGTCCACAGGGCAGATTTTCAAAAAGCAAGGCTTCTGATCCTTGTCAGGACCGAAGCGATAGCAATCCTTGCCGTATTTGCCCGGTTTTGGTTGTTCGCACAGGCGATAGCGTGTTTGAATGCCTTCGCCGCACTCCTTGCTGCAGTTACTCCATGCACTCCATTCAGTGTAGCCGCCATCATCAGTAGCTCTGTGGTACGCGTAATACCCCCCGACAACAAAACAGCACAGAGCGAGAGAAAGGCCAAGCGTTGGTAAAAACCTTCTAGAACACATGATCGCAGAAAAGCAGATGTGCTCAGCGATACTGAATGTTGTTTATTTGTTGCAGCTCGAGTTCTGAACAAACGCTCTCAGCATCAACCTTGATCGAGTCTTCGGAACGATCGTTTAGCAACTCATTTGTATCGTTGTCGATTTCCTTTTTGATTATTGGTGGAACACATTATGCATTATTTACACGTGGCAAGCAAGCGTGATTTTTGCATAAATTTGTATATTAGTGACGGAAACCCATTGAAGGCATTGGAGTTTCAGTCAATAACCTCTCCTCTGGTCTGAGCGTTCGCGATGATTCAACTAGCAAAAATCGAGTGACTCTTCCGAAATCTAAGGGTCTGCTAGTAATACCGAGAGTAAACTTTACTTGAACTTGTCCAGCGGAGAGGAATAAAAGGATAATACGAAATGAAATACCAATCAAGCACCTCGATGTTGCTGAGGTTCGGTTGTTACAGTAATCTTTTTTTTCAATTTTTTTTTTTTGGAGGTGGAGACAGGGCTGGGATTACTGTTGGAGAGATATCGAGCTTAGTTTTCGGGGTTTTTGTTTGTGGGGGGGGGGGG